CTTGATGGACAAAATTGAATTAACTGTTTTTTCTTCCATTTCATCTCATTCGCCAATTAAATCTACAAGTACTTCCCCTCCACATGGATTCTGTTTCCAAACAGAATTTTTTTTTTTTATCCTAATCCTCGAGAACATTTTCCAGAGACAGAAAGACTGAACAGACTTGTGTTCACCATGTTTTTGATGTATGCTTGTCAATAGTAAATTCTCTCCTGCTAGGTCGTGTATTTATTTGTTTATTATGAAGGGTTCTGGGGATGAAATATGCCATGTTGTCAAACCTCAATGCATTGACCAATCAGCATTGAGCTTTTGATTGGTAATCAGGTGATGCCCTTCCAAATTTACATGGACTGCATCAGTTTCGGAGAAAAAAAATATACTGACCGTAATACAGTGATAAAAATTTTAAAGTTTTCAAATTTTGTTAGTTGGGTCAGTATATCGTCAGAAATTGGTGAAAATAAAAATTTTCTATGTCGTAATGTTAAAAGAAATTCTCAATTGGCTCCAGTTTCACACGTTCGGTCAAGTTAGAGCAAACAGAAATATTTCTAAGCCTGGCCTTACGAAAGTTTTTCTAGAGGACAACCTTCACAGTAGCGATGTACATGTAAACTATAACACGTACTGAGAAGTTAACAGAGTGATATGTGCTATAGTTATGTTAAGTCATAGTGGATGCTGGCATAATCAGAAAATTGAAAGCTTATTGCCGCCATCAACATTTATAAAACACATGAAGTGTGTTGAAAATAATGATCCATTGCTTCTGGAATTAATACTTTAATATCAAGTATTAATAATGATATGTCAACTGATCAGTGGTTCAACACAGACTCGGCAGAACCAACTGGTCAAGAGTTGTCAGATCACGTTATCGTATCTCTTCAAGAACGTGGTAACAGTAAATCGGACATAGTAAAGGATCCACCAATCACATCAGTCAGTCTGAATCAAATATTATGTATTCTTAAAGCTGTCATTACTTGGTTTGAAGAAATCACTGATTTATGTGATGGTGATGATATACTGTGTTAAAGCTGCTGAGAAGCTTCAAAAGAAAGATATTTCAGTTCAGAAACAGACTGTAATTATATCCTTCTTCGGAAAGTGATTTGTTGTATGTGTGATACTCTATGTATTCTGTAAGTCATTGGTTCGAACAAAATGATATTTTATGTGAAGATAATGAAACGTCACTTTGATAAATCAATTTGTAGAATTATTGATGATGAATAATAAAGTGATAACCTTAGTGTACATACAGTTGCTTTTTATTTACCCACCCTTCCATTTATCAGTTAGTAACATATGCTATTAATAGTGTCTGTTGTATTCGAAGCGATTGATTTGACCATCCTAATGTCTGTATATAATCATGACATATAAATTCATTAAAAATACATTCAGATTAACAAGGTTTCCATGTGATGTTGTAGAATAACTGGGAGGTTTAAATTGATGTCTTTATTACATCTTACATTTCAAACTCAAACAGTCATTTTTCTAAGTTATGTTATTTTTGTTTTATGCTTATATTTCATTTGTTAACATGAAAGTATTTTAATCATAATAAGGTAGGAAAATAAGTTTTTTCATAAAATGTGTAAAAATCCATAAATCTGTAATCTTTTTACATATAATTGCATATCTAATAGTCCCTTCACCTATTGTTGAGACAACAAATGCATCTCTCGTGCATATATGTTTTCCCTTTTATTAGTCTGCTTCGATGTGTATGGAAATTATATGTTTAGGATTTATATTTCAATAATGTTATTTATACATTTGTGTGTATTTTCATTTCTAACAGTTACATTATAGTATTTTACTTCATATAATTGGATGACACTGAATAGCCTTTGTGTACCGATGTGCCATGAAACATTCATATCTAGTATTAGTTAATAAGCTGCCGTTTTAATTATTTATGCTCAAATGTTTTTGTACTGCAATTACCAGAGTATTGCAACGAGTTAAAAAAAGTGGATGCTTGCACTGGGCTAACAATGGCCCAGCTATAAGGGCCATTGTGTAAGTTGCTGTAGAGCCAACATTGTTTCCCAACCTTACCAAACATAATTGACAATGTTGGGCCAACATACTTTGGGTTGTGAGCTACCCAATAACTATTAACATGAGAGTGAGCCAATGTTGGGCCAACATACCTTGGTCTACTGTTTGGGTTGTCAGCTACCTACTTGTGATTTACATGATAGTGAGCTGATGTTGGGTTAACAAAGCTTTACCAATGTACCAACATATCAATCATCAGCCAGTGTTGGCCCAACCTTGGTCTGCTGTCTGGGTTATGATGGAAAAATCAAATGCATCAGTCTTCTTTTAAGGGTAATAAAAATTACCTTTTGTAATATTTTCATTTCATAAGGATGGATTCACAGATGAACGGGAAATTCTACAGTTTCACTTTGTTATGTGGAAAGACTTCTTAGCACCAGAACAACCTTCCTGGCTACTACGTTTCATCAAAAGGGTCAATGAACATTATGTTTCGGACAGAGGACCCTTACTAGTCCATTGCAGGTAAATACAAAAAACCTGTCTTCTTAATTCTTTAGAAACACAACTAATGTTTTTGGGTCTTTAGTTGTTATTTTTTCATGTTATCTGTTTACTTTTTTATCATTTCTACAATATATTGAACTTTGTCCTTGTATTTGTATGTGTGTTTTGTTAACTGTTCATTTACTTGTTTTTTTTATTTATGCATTACAGTGAATTTAGATCGTGTATACAGTTGCTTGTTTTTAGTTATGTGACGTAACAATAAAAGACCATTTGGTCCTTCAAAGCTTTCATCATACACACACACACTCAATCTTGAGAAAATTAAAAGTTTAAACCCATCCTTTGTTTTCAGGAAATCATTGATTTCTCTCTTAAGCTTGTGTTACTTCCCAACGTCTGCTTGTGGTGTGGCCTGGTGGTTAAGATGCTTGGCTTGCAATCTGAGGACGTGGGTTCGAATCCCTGTCACCTTTCAGGCATGGTGGCACTATTTGTTAGTAAAAGAGTAACCCAAGAGTTAGTGTTGGGTTGTGTTGACTAGATGACTTCCCTCTAGTCCATCATTGCTAAATTAAGGACAGCTAGTGCAGATAGCCCTCGTGTAGCTTTGCATGAAATTTAAAACAAAACAAACTTATTTCATAAGTCAAACACCTTGTTATGAAAATAAAACTGTCTCAACTGGAGCCTATCCTGTTTTTTTTTTTCCTCCAAAATTTTTAGCTTGTGTCCTCTGGTCCTATTCTCTTCAGATTACAGCACAGAACCCCAAGTGATCTTCAATAAGATAACTTCTTACCTATCTTTTCTCAAGAGAAAGTAAACTAAGAGATTTTAACATATCCCTATAAGATAAATCTTCTATCCCATGAATTATCCTAGTAGCTCTCATTTGAACCCATTCCAATATGATAATATCCTTTCATAAATAAGGAGAACAAAACTGTACACAATATTCCAAGTGAAACCTAACTAGTGATTTATATGCAGAATTTGAGTAAATTATATTAAAATTATTTGGGAGTATGGCCATGTCACTATATCTAGTTTCATCTTGATACTAGTGTTGCATCATTGTTTCCATTGCAAAAGCCTCTGTCATGAGGTGTCCAAACCACGCCACTTTTACCTAATAGCTGTTCATAGACCGTCTAGGATGTGAGGACAATGGTTTCCCAGCACCATTTTCAACAGTCCAATTACACTGAAATCTAATAAGTGCTGTCTACTGACTTGACTGGTATGTTTTTGTGTGGAATACCACAAATATCTGTTTCATTCTTCAGCTGCTTGAGGCACATGATGGTTGAACTGATATACTGTGGAAACGGCTTGTGTGTAAATGTGACTTTTGTTACTTTTCCATGCAGAGATACTTCTTGATTATGTTCCTTACTGTTGCCTGGGGCACATGGTTTGCTTTTACTACTGACCTTTGTGTTCGTGGATTCTAACCTGTGGCAAGATTCTGCACTTTCCTTACCATGGCTGGTGTATGACTTGTTGCACTTCTCTTTTTGAATGGTTCTGGTGTCCCAAGTTGATCTTTATTCCTTTGTTTTTGGATCCCATTAGGTACTAGAGATATGCCGTCTTGAAAATGATAGATTCCCTATTTAAACACTTCTATCTAGGAAACAACAAATAATGTCCAAATATAGTTCCGATAAATGGCATTCCACTGCGACTTTATATTGGCTCTGATTGTCTCGTGACTTGGTGATATCTGTATTCAAAATTACTTTAATGTAATGTACTTGACCCTTTTGATTTGTATAAATACACCTTAAAATTATATTAGCTCTACTGTTAGCAACAGAGCACTGCCTCAAAGGTATAAGTGACTTAATTTATAAACTACAATAAAATTTGGCTTTAAATTTCTGTACATGATTTAATTAAATATTTTTGACTTATTCAATACAGTTTTTAATTTGTACCGTGTAGTTAGTTTTTCTATTAACATGTATGTCTGGTTTTTGTATTGATATTGACCATTAAGTTCCTTCGGTTTGTACAATAAAGTGAAGCTAGTTCTTATATTTTATTCATTCTGATGGTCAGTGGTAAGTCTCTAGACTTATAATGTTTAATTCCGATCAGCTAACTCCCTCTGCTCACAAGATTAGCTATTCCCATTCAGTGCTGCCCTCTGTATGCAAACGTTTTTTTTTAATGCATGCTACAAGCCTTTTGCTCCCCCCCCTATTTTCCAACATATGTCTCATGCAAATCGTCATGTGTCACTTCTCCACCAATGAAGTGCAATGTAGTCGCATGACGCATGTGACTCCCTCAATATTCTTCCACCAAATTATCACTTCTTATTTGACAGAACTTATACTCGGACATTTTGTTGTCATTCTATACTGTTTCACATTTGTGTTTAGTATACTCACGAAGTGGCCTTCATTTCTCTGGAGTTTGAAATTTGCCACATTTATCCCAACTTATTTCAGTCCCATTCCAAAGCTAATGTTACCACTTAGGGAGTCACGTATATGACTAGTGCTATCTCACATGCTGCAGGTATGGGGCAACCTGGAATGGGATTTTATCGGTGTTTATCCTCCATGAGATTGAACGTTAACAAGGTCGCCCACAATTCCACCTGTAGAAGTCGACCCTGTTCGGGCGGACAGAAATCTTGATAGCCTTTTTTCACCACCAGATTTCAAGTGTTTGGTTCTTCATTTCCATTATGTAGTCTCCATTCCCAATATGGAGATTGTATGTTCTATTCACATGTTTATAATGGCTTCCATTCACGTTAATCCACGGACAGTTCCAACTTGTTTCATCTGGAGTCTGATCATCTAATGTCCAAAATTTCGTCGGACCTCGCCTTGTGCTTCACAGTCCACCATTTGCCATACAGTCCACTGACTTTGGAAAAATAAGACGTTTACAATTTTATTATCAATATTATTATCTGTAGTTATTTTAATTCTATAACATGCACTTATTTAGATTAGTTAACACTAAGTTACGTTATGATTCATAATTAGTCTTTGTTGTTTCTCTTCTGTACTGTTCGATTAGGCTTGACATGGTATGTCCTTCATCAGTTGAACTATGTTATTTCCTTACTTTTCTATTTCATTTCGTTAATAATATTTTTCTTCACACAGACTTCTCTCAGTATTGTACCTATTTATTGTTCAGTTTAGTTTTTCTTTTCATTCTTAGGTTATCCTTTGTTCTGTACTGTTTGATCAGCTTTCACTAGTTTTCATTCTTTTCAATTTCACTGTAGTTCTAGTTTAGATTTTCTTGTTATTTCTGTTCACCATCTTGTTTGATTCAGCTTCATTACTGTATTATTTATCGGTTTACCCGTGGTTTTATTGACGGGTTAGTATCCACTTAGGTTCCATTTTTTCTTCGCCACTACATCATACGGGATTCATTCCCCTACACCGTTTTCTTCTCATTTTTATATGTTGACTAATTCATTTTGTTTTTCCTTCATAGTTTATCCTTTTACAGTTACTTTTGTTTCATCCCAACTTTATAATTATTACCATTCATTTCATTTAGTTTATATTTTATCCTTTTTACTATTAGTATACACATAATTTCTGAACATCATTAGAAGATATGTCATACAAATTTAACAAAGCAGTCAGATACATCAAGCATGTCTCCACTGCTGTTTCATAACCCAGGGTTTACGATTAAGTAGCAAATATTTGAAATATAAATAGTTATTTATTATTTAATTTAGTGTACATGCTTTACACTCTAAATTTGCTCGTTTTAATGACTAGGAAAACAAAATGCACTTAAAGAAATTAAAACCAATTAAAACAGTATTATTAATATGCATGACTTTTCTGAACTACTGTTAAACAAGCAGCTTGTTACATTCTATTCTGACCCAGGATGGCCAGGTGGTTAGGGTGCTCGACTTGTAATCTGAGGGTCGCGGGTTCGAATCCCCATCGCACCAAACATGCTCGCCCTTTCAGCCGTGGGGGCGTTATAATGTGATGGTCAATCTCACTATTCGTTGGTAAAAGAGTAGCCCAAGAGTTGGCGGTGGGTGTTGATGACTAGCCGCCTTCTCTCTAGTCTTACACTGCTAAATTAGGGATGGCTAGCACAGATAGCCTTCGTGTAGCTTTGCGTGAAATTCGTAACGAACCAAACATTCTATTCTTTATCATTTCTTTTTTATTATTGCTGAAGATAAATACATATATGGCATAACCATCACCTGATAATTAAGGCAAAGCCCTTTCAGTTTTGTAACTTTCCAAAATTTTGCTGCAGACTTACAAAGTTGTGTGTTTATTTCTCATGCCATTCAATAACCATGTGTGAGCCCCAGAACAGATAGTGGTACGAAAATTGGTTTGAAATAATTGATCCATTATTAGCAGCCTAAAACCAATACTAATTCCATTCCACAATATGGTGAAGTTATTTCTTATAATATTTGTTTAAATGTTTTTTTCTTTTTCTTCAACTGCTGAATAGTGGGAAGGCAACTGGCTGGTAGCACCAACCTCCAGCTTTTTTTTTTGTTGTTGTTGTTGTTGTTTGTTTTACCATGATGTGAAAAAAATTTTACTCATAAATTAACAAATACTGCTAATCACCCAGCTGTAAGTGAAGGAATTTTTTTTTTAATTATATAAGTAAACTTTAACTATTTTACTGGTAAGTTTAAAAAAAAGTAATTATTCTTTTTTTTTTTATATTCAGTAATTAAAAAACTA